TGGGGGGGTGGGGGGGGAGATACACTTTAAGTACGGTACTTGCAGCTAACAAGTAGATCTAATTTTAGTCTTTGGTTGGAAGGATTTGCGCTGTCTAGTGGCAAAAACAACCTTTTTGTAAGGAGCTAAAACTTCTGTATTCATTACTGTTTTTCAGGCAATTCCATCCTTTTCAACATATTTGATGCCATTTTGAAACCGGTGATGCCCATCTTAAAGAAGTAAGTTTAGTACAGACACCCTTGTTGTTGTATTTTCTATTGAGCGAGTCACAATTCTATCTTCTCTCCAGGAAGATCAACACTTTCCTGAACAAGTTGAATCCAACAGAGGAGCAGATGACTGTGTACATCGACACCCTGCGGGACAAACTGTGGCCGAAGTTGGAAAAAAAGCTGCCGCTGAAGCCGCCTCCTCTTCCTCGCTCCGATGATGAGAAGAAAGAGACCAAAGACCGAGCACATGACCTCATCAACGCTCGATGTAGGTGACGCCTTGCTGCTGTGTTTTCACATCTGGATGTTTACCTGTTTTGATCCTGGTCCTGTTTCCTCTGTAGATTCTAGTTGCATCATCCTGAAGAAGACAGACGTAGAGTCCATTTTTAATATTCTCCAGAACAGCGAGGAAAATAAAATTCTTCTCTATGTACGTATCTCAACATTTACTTCAGCTTTCCTTTTGTTGCGTCTCATTTTAACTTTTTTTTAACTCACAGACGCTTCTTTCATTCCTGTTAAAACAATTTCTTCCCAACGAGAATTTATCGACTACGAGAGCTGCTGTTCTTCAGAAACGGACCAACAACTGATCTGTGAAACCCTTAATGTGTCTTATTTATGCAACTGTTTTGATATTTTTATACTATTTTTATTGCCTTAAAATGTTTGGGTTACAAGTGCATGAATGTTGAACACCTTTTCTCTTTACCTCAAACACAATGCAAGTGTTTTTTTTTGTTTTGTTTTTTGATTTCTGGACTGTTTTTGTTCATGTTTTCCTGACGGTGTGAAGAACTGTGACTTATGAAGGAATTCAGAAATATCTTTTTTGGAGCCAGTTTGAAATATTTCCACTTATTATTATTATTATTGTTATTATTATGATAATAATCTCAGGAAGATAAATTTGTGTGTTAAATTTTTATGTTACCATTTTTAATTTATATTTCTAAGATAATTTGTCACTTTAAGCACTTTGGTATCATGTTTAATTCTTAAAATCACTGTTTATTAAACCAAATTTGTCTTAAATTTTATGTCAGTACATTTATGAAAACAGTGCCACTGTCTAAAGAAGCTTGAAGTCATGTCAATAAAACTTGAATTTTTTTCCAAATAAAATGTATGATATGATGAAAGTGATATTTCTTTTCAGTAATAGTTATAGAGGAGATTCTGTTGGCAGAAACTTATTTAAACTCAACGTATGATGAATTTTATAAAGCATCAGTTGTGTTCAAAATTAGTTTTCCTTGGTAAAGTTTATACTTTGATTTAATAAACACTGGATAAAAGAGGTGTTTCTCCCTGTAGTTATTTTTGAACTACATTTTTAAGAAGACACATCTGAGTCATTGAAATTATGCTGATTCATATCACAAAATTTTATTTACTCAAAAAAGATTCAGCAATTCTGCAGTGTTTCAGTTGCACTAAAAATAAAAATACTGCTTGTTTTGATAGGGAAATGTAAAAGAATTTTATTGAAGTATTCTGGTTCTGCTCACAGACCTCATTTATGTTTCAACGGCTTTGATTATTTTGTTTACGAAAGGCCCTGCACAGCTGAACACAAATGCATTGGGCTCTTAAACAAAAAGTCAATAAAACAAATGGGGGTTATAGCAGTTTTAAGATTTGTGAACTTGTAGTACAAATGTCCTGATACATCTCAGTAATCCAGGTAAAAAATCAAAAGGAAAAAAATTGTATAGGTCCTCTGGACGGGTTCTTCTCTAATGAAATGTTTCGTCTCTCTTCCAAGAGACTTCTTCAGTCAGAGTTTCAGGCAAAATTCAGGCTTTTGAGTCCTGCCTCCAGGTGACTGATACATCACATGGCTATCGTTCACACTTAATTAATACCTATTGTTAACGGGGGTGGAATGATACTGCCAATGGCAGCGCTGTAGTGGGGGGGGATAACTGAAAACGGAGGCCCCCACCTCTTTCTGTAATTCACATACGGGGGGCAATATTATAGGCAGAAACATGGGTGTGCCATGGGATCCCCAGTTTCTCCTATTGTTGCAAACCTGTACATGGAGGAAGTGGAAAAGAGATCCTTGATGTCCTTTTCAGGGGTGCCACCGAGCCATTGGTTCAGATATGTTGATGACACCTGGGTTAAAATTAAAGCCCAGGAAGTCCAACATTTCACTGATCACATCAACTCTGTGGATGAATATATTAAGTTCACACGAGAGGATGTAAAAAATGGCAGGTTGGAGTTCTTGGATTGCGATGTTTCGGATGGAGGACGGTTGGAAACTGGCATATATTGTAAGCCCACCCACACAGACCAATATTTGCGTTTTGACTCCCACCACCCACTGGAACACAAGTTAGGAGTGATCAGGACTCCGTACCACAGAGCAGACAGTGTCCCTACAAACCCAGGAGCCAGGCAGAAAGAGAAATCACACACACGACAGGTCCTGGAGCAGTGTGGTTATCCTGACTGGGCTTTCCTGAAAGCAGACAGGAAACACAGACAGGATTCCATGCAACCTTCAGGTGAAAATGAAGACCCCAAACCCAGACCCAAACCAGTGGTTATTCCGTATGTTGCGGGTGTTTCGGAGAAACTGAGACGTTTATTTTCTTAACATGATGTCCCAGTAGCTTTCAAACCCCAAAACACATTACGGCAAAGGCTGGTTCACCCCAAAGATCAGGTGCCCCGGCACAAACAGAGCAATGTTGTATATGCTGTTAAGTGCCAGGAGGACTGCGACCAGTTATACATCGGGTAAACAAAGCAGCCACTGTTCAAAAGAATGTCCCAACACAGACGAGCTAATTCTAATGGCCAGAACTCTGCAGTTTTCACTCATTTACAGGCCAGCGGTCACTCTTTCAGAGATGAGGATGTTCTCATTCTTGATAGAGAGGAACGTTGGTTTGAGAGAGGAGTAAAAGAAGCCATTTTTGTGAAGAAAGACCGTCCATCATTAAACAGAGGTGGGGGCCTCCGTTTTCGGTTGTCCCCCTCCTACAGCACTGCCATTGCCAGTATCACTCCACCCCCTGTTAACAATAGGTGTTAATTAGGTGTCAACAATAGCCATGTGATGTGAGTATCAGTCACCTGGAGGCAGGACTCAAAAGCCTGAATTTTGCCTGAAACTCTCAGACTGAAGAAGTCTCTTGGAGGAGAGACGAAACGTTTCATTAAAGAAGAACCCGTCCAGAGGACCTATAAAAATTTTTTCCTTTTGTAGTACAAATGGATTAGAGTAGCAGCAAACTTTGGTTTACAAAGCTATGAACTTGGTCAAAATTGAAATTTACTAAATATTTTTTTGCTTACTTGCCTTGTTTATTAGCTCGGGAGCACCTACTTGCACCTGATCTGTAACCCGTTAGGCACTAAGAAATGCAGTACTGTTCTGTCATTTTCCCCATGCAGTTGCTCCTCCGGACCAGCGGGGGACGCGCTGGGGTCGGCGGCCGCAAAGCAAGCCTCTCTGTTGTTTGTTATCCAAGATGTCTGCGCCCACAATGCTGTTCCTGTCGGCGTGAAGGTTCCGGACAAGCGACAGATATGTAAGCCTCACAAGTTTAATTCATTTCATTAAAGCTTAACAGGACGAGCGTGTCAAACCTGAGAAAATTCGAGCTGTTTTTCTGTCAGGGTTCGTGCTGAGCAGCTCTGTTTCTGTGACTGCAGACGACGACGTGTGTAGTTGCTCTGTGAGTCACCTTTTCAAATGACATATTTATATTATTTTAGTTTTGAAAAAGCTGTGTGTCGTTTATTAAACTTAACGGACCCTATGTGTGTATGTATTGATAGGCTTTTGAATGACTCGAACTGGAATAAAATGAAAGCTGTGGCTGTTAAACACAATTTTATTTAATGTTGAATGTCAAACCGCAGCACGATGGCTTCACGGTTTTAACAGAAATTGCCACAATATAATAATTTGTACGCTGTTCCTATTGGACTCATGTGAACCCTTGTGAAGTATTTAAAACACACTGCGCATGCCCTAAAATTGTAACACTAGAAAGTTTCTGTAGACATTTTGAAAGGTGCTAAATGCAAGCTAAGCAGAAAATGTCAGCCTTTTAGGACATTTAAGAAAACAAGAGCCAATTAAACGTTTTAAGGGAACATATCATGCAAAATCCACTTTTTTTAGCCATTAAATAAAATTACAGCTTGGTGTGCTGTTCACTCTGTATTCTGGGGAAATTTGAAGAAAACCCACAAGTCCTAGTGCAGTGACACACCGGGTGAAAGAAGACAAAAGTGTCTAAATTTTGTTGTTTTATTTGTCTATGCAGCTAAAAGAGTTGTTGGTGTAAAAAGAGTTTGTTTGCAAAAGATTTAAAAGTTTTAGATTGTTGTAAAGTTATTGTGTGTGACATTATCAGCTGTCAGTTGATTATGTCACACAATTGTCACACGAACATAAATACACACAATGGCTGTGTCCAAAACGATGGGCCGGGTCCTCCTAAGGCCGAATTCATCGGCCGCATACGTCACAGCGAAGGCCGTTCAAAACCAAAGACTCCTCCGATGCGGCCGACAAATGCGTCATTCCTTTGGCCTGAATTGAAGGACTGGTCCGATGGATCCTTCCCGGCCCACCATATCCCATAATGCATTGTGGACCGACTGGAGATTTTTTTTATGCTAGTAATGCAGGGGCGCCAGCGGTGGGGCAACATGACGAATGCCGGGGTAAAGATGGGAGGCTAGACCGTCCAAATTCACAGACACTTTTTCCTGTGTTCCCGGTCTACCAAGGACCCAGCCCACCTCGATCAGGTAGACTGGGTCCTTTGGAGGACCTGGCCTGCCGTTTTGGACACAGCCAATATCATCAGCTGTCAGTTGATGATGTCACACTAACATCAGTACACACAATAACATCATCAGCTGTCAGCTGTTATTGTGTGACATCATCAACAGTTGACATCATACAATTTTTTTATCATAAATTTTGTCTACATTCTGCCAAATACCACATTCAGACTGCATGTTTTGGTTAATTTGTATTTTTTGTTTGTTTGTTTCATCAAAGCCATTTAGTAAAATACTGTATAAAAACCTATAACAGAATATTAATAAGGGAGCTTCAAATGTGCATCAATTGGCAATAAGGCTGCTCAATATATTGCATATAAATTGGCATCACAACATCTGTGTGTAATATTCATATCACAAAGGACGGCTTGCAGTGCAATACAACAATTGTTGTCTAATGTATTTGAAGAGTTTTGAAGCTGTATTGTAGTCTTATGGCAGCGAAAGCTGACACCAGACACAATGACATTGCCAAAAATGCTGAAGGTCACAGTACAGAGAATGTGAGGAAAGAAAAAAAAATCATCACAATATTTGCAAATATCATCACCATGGTAAGATTTTCTAATACTGTATCTCACAACCCTAATTCACCCATAAGTATACATACTTGTACAATCATTTCCACCTCACATGGACTTGTTTAAAATTTTGATGAAAGTAGAAATAAAAAAGTTTTTCAAATGATTTAGTCCACGCATTGGGGGAACTCCTCTACCGGAGGCCAGAAGCTTGTATTGTGTGGAGGCGATGTGATGGCTGATCAATATCCTCTGAGCTTTTCTGAGAACAAACTGCTCATAAATCGACTGGAGGAGCTGGTCGTTCATAGCTTTGTTTACCCAATTAACAAACTCAGTTTTTAGTCATTCAGTGGAACCTGACTAAACTCTCCTGACTGTACATCTGTTGTACAATAAAAACAGTATTTTGGTCTATACTATGGATGAGTGGTTTGCAAAATTTTCAGCTTTTGACCCACAAAATAAAAGCAGCAGAGACCTGTGCCCCCAGCTGTTGTCGGTTGATAAATGTTTTTTGACTTTCACGTGTAATAAACAAAAGCATAGTGAAGGAATTTATCGGTTAGATACTGATGTTAAAAGCACTACACCGTTTTCTTAGTTTCCCTTTTTAAGCATTGACTTTTATAATCCATTGTTTAACTGTTGTTATGTCTTGATTAAATAACACATAAGAAACCGTTTATAAAACATTAGGTGAGAATTGCTATTCAGAGTGCCTGTGATTCAGCCGTAGGCCAGTAGTGGGCGTACCAGGCATTGAAGAACATGTACTTATAGACAGCATTTCCGGTTTTTCATTCAGCGTGGGTTTCCTGCTTACACTGAGAGCATTAAATCTCCGCTCATTTCCAGTCACTAGGGTTGTATGGTCCTCATTCTCTTCACATTTAAATCTTTTCAAAATTTATGTGGTTTCGTCTCTTTCAGTTAATGAACACTAAATTTTCTTACAATAGTGCCATTATTTATTGCATTATTTCTGTCCATTTAAGTACACTAAATCTTATTATATTGTAACAACAAAGGCAAAAATTGTTGTCATTTTTTAGTGTAACTAATTCATAAAATATTTTCAGGACCCCACCTTGATGTTTAAGGACCTCACAAAGGGTCCCGACCCCAACTTTGGGAACCACTGCTATAGAGGTTATGTTAAAAGAAATGTAGTTTGTGTTTTTGGCAAGAACACAAATTTCCAACATGGATGTAGACTTGTAAAAAAAAACTTGATTAAAAGAAGAAGAAAAAATCTCTAACGCTGAAATAATTTTGAAGTGACTATTGATTAAAGAAACAAATTGGATGTGGTGACCATATTAAATTGGACTGAATCCAAAAGGGAATCAGTTGTAGATACATTTAGTGATTACTCTCTGAAGGTTATATCAAAATCCATCCAGTGATTCATGAGAGATTTTGGTAACAAATAAACAAACTGCCCCCACACATGCAGACAAAAACATTATTTTTTTGCCTTTTGGGGTCGGGGGATAATCAAAACCTAAATAGAACTCTGTAATTCACAAATTAGTAAATACAAATCTGGGAGTGATAATACAAGCATATAACGAGGGGAGAAACTAAATCTGTTAAATAATTTAATGTACCGTAGATTTTCAGTCAGTAATTTGCTCCGTCTCATAAAAGAGTACTATAAAAAGAAACGGTGACAGAAAATAATTATCTCCCCTGAGCTGCTCACAACTCCTGAGATGAAAAGGTAAAAAAAAAAAATCCTTTGATAAAATCAGAAACAGTTCTGATTGTTTCAATGTTAAACGTGCATTTCTGAAAAGACGACTCTTCTCTGCTGCAAACAACATTAGAGAAAAATATTATCAGATCACAGTGAGCAATAAGTAACACCATTAATTCATCACATGAAGCAGAGCCGTCACTGATAAAACAAAGCTAACGTTGATATTAATATTTATAATATTCTGCTGATGTTAGAAGAGCCAAAAACAACTGCTGAGAATATTTATCTGTACGCTTGGACTCATTTAGAGAGAGTTAAAGAAATAACTGAGAGCAAAGAGTAAAACTTGACAGAAAATTATTCACATTTAAACTGAATTAATAAAGATATATTTTTATCCTTGCAACAGATCATGATGGTTTACATAAAAAAAAACATTTACTGAATTATACCCACGTTAAAACATCACTTTTATCTACTGATTCACACTCCAATGAGACATTGGGGACAAGGACACTTGTCCTCCACAGCTTTAAACATAAAACATGGAGTAGGTTACATTTATAGACCACAGTAAGAAAAAACATAAAACATTGTTTGACTTTGAATATTTGATGCACATTTTTTGTTCATCCTTATTTCCTTCTGCAGTTTTCAGTACAAAATCACATTTGAAAGCAAATTGTGTAAAACCACAAGGCCTGACTTGTTCTGATCCATTTGTGACTGAAGCAGGACGTGATGACACAGTTTCTAACTTTGAACAGGGCCCATAGAAATTTCCTAGTGTAGGATTTTTTACTGTACAAAAGACAATATTGTTTTTGTGTGTGATATCGTGTGTGTGTGTGTGTGTGGGGGGGGGGGGGGTCTATTAGCAAAATATTTTATAAACCACTGGACAAATTTTACAAAAAAATTTCGGAAAGTGAAACTGTTTGGCTTTTAAAGTCAACCCGATTATAGCCACCACTGATTGGCCGTAAAGCCAGAAAAATGGCTAATATTCAGCAGATTTACAGATACTGACCAAAGTTTTGAAGTGGTAGTAGCTGAGAATGATCCTTAATGAATCAGTTTTTTTTGTTTAAATTTTGTCCAGTAATCATCTGAACATAAAAGGGACATATCATGCAAAATCCATTTTTTGCCATTAAATGCATTTTGTTGTGTTGTCCTTTCTTTATACTCTGTTTGTGTTATATTTTTCAACCCATTCAGTTTTCTCTATTTTCTGTGATGTGTTCTGAACGTCACTGTATTTGCAACAAAAATGCCACAGCAGAAACTTAAGACTCATGGGGGGTGTTAGCTTATTGTGTTTTTTCCGCCTTTACCGATGTTTTTGAGCCACAAATTAAAAAATAAATAAATAAAATGAATAGACCTAGTATTTGTTAAATCATATAGCCTGACCAAAATATTAATGATGTCAAATCAGAGTTGTAGCCATTTTGATCAAACCTTGTAAATAACATCATGGATCAGTATCAGTAACTGC